CAGCAAGGACTGAAGTTGTTGAAAATATGACGTCTATTTGTGTATTCAAATCGGTGGTTGGGATTTCCAATGGTAAAGCAGATGTAAGTTTATACTGCTTGAAAAAGTCATGCAAGTCACTACTGGCATTGTTTAAGATGTTGAAGTTCAGATCTCCAATCACAACAATTTCTTCAACAAATTTGACCTTACTCAATAACGTATGGAAAGTTGTTCGAAACACACTGATTGGCGTGCTAGGTGACTTGTATCCAGTAATGATGGTCATTCTACAGATAGTAACCGCATATAATTCTACATGATAGTTTGTGCTAGTTTCAATACTGTCATGTATGACATCACTTACACCACTAAGACTGTGTTTCGCGAAACAAATGATACCTCTAGTACCACAGTGTGGATCACTCCGAAATAACACTTTATAGTTATCAAGGACAAATTCTTCGGTTTCAGATGCCAACGTTTCGGAAAATATCAGTAAGTCGCTTTGAAAATACCAATTGTCACCTTTAATGTATTGTAATTTATTCGTTAAAGAGCACACATTCTGATATGCTACTTTGAATCCTGTTGAGTCTTTAAATGTACGGAGTGGCAAATTTAAAGACTTAGCTGTCCTTAGTCTGTAGAGCTCTTGCAGGCTTGGGTCCTCATGCGTCGATTGTTTTGGGATCCTAAAGTCTCCAACAATGTACAATCCTGTGATGCTTGAAACTCTGCTTAAAGCTACATACAGCAAAGGCCTTGTTATCCTTTTTATTTCGTTGAAATCTAACGCCACCTGTTCATATGTCTGTCCTTGGCTTTTGTGAATGGTAATTGCTTCTGCGGGTACCATGGGGAATTGAGTTCTTAATGTCGGGTACTGAAGTTTATTTGAAATATTCAGCGGAACACAAACCTTCCTTATGGGCACTAAATGTGAGTCAAGGTTATTGTCATCTATGAGCCGTTTGTGAGCCATCTTTGCCTTATTACCAACGTTGTGTGTGGAGAAATCTAACCAGAGTATTTTTGGTACTTGGCTGTCGTCATTATCGAATGTTATCAGCCTTAGGACTCCGCACGCTCCGTTAACGAGACCATCTTCTACGTCAATGTTCGTTGTTATAGCATATTTAATTCCTAGTTTTATAATGATGCTGTGTGGTAGGCCATTTACTTCACTTAATTTTTTTTTCTTTAGTCCCTGCAGTATACTTTCCTTTGATGCCTCTGAGAGTTTTCCTAAAATGGAATCTTTAGCAGTGGAAATGTAATGTGGTCCCGGGTGACTTTTAATTCTTTCCTGGTTATACATATCGACAAATTTATTTTCACCGTACAATCTGATTGCGCTGTTTGGTACTGCTGACGGCGACACTTGCCTAGACTTGAACAGTTCAACATGTTTTTGCACCATGTGTCCACTCGCTAATGCATTCAGCGCTTCAATAAACTCAATTTCATTCTTTTGGCGCATTATTTGTTTCAATTCGTAGAAGGTGAATAGATCCCAAAGGGGATTTCGATCCATTAATTCCCAAAATTCGTTGCTTTTGTCCACCTTATAAATTAGGGAATCCATAACTGGTGGTAGCTGGTTCAAATCTCCGACAAGTAAAACTGATATCCCTCCAAAGGGTTTGTTGTCTCCCATTATTTGGCGCAAACGAGAGTCAACTCGACTGAAAAGTGTGCTTCCGACCATAGAAATTTCATCGATGATCAGTAGTTTAATGTTGAATAATTTTTCCCTAATTGTATTGGCAACTTCTGACGATAACTGAGGCATTGAACCACCAAATTGAGATATGGGTAATGCGAAAGCAGTATGCAGGGTAACACCTTCAATGAGGAATGCAGCTTTCCCAGATGGTGCACACAATAGAACATAGATGGAGTCTCCCGAAGCACCTGGCTGTGAATCAAAATATTTTGTTATGGATTGATATAGGCATCTAATGACTGTACTTTTTCCAACCCCTGCCGATCCACTCAGGAAGATATAGAAGGGAGTTTTTCTCAATTTGAAGGAATTGAGGATGTGGAAGACGAAGTCCTTCTGTCCCTCGTTCAGACGGGAAAACAAGCAACATATGTCTTCATGTGGCACTCTATTCGGAACACTGTATCGATTTTGATTCTTATTAACTGGGGTTTCCTGTCCTCCTTGCTGCAGAATGTCCACATTATGTTCTGGTGAAAGTTTTTCTTTTATAAATTCGTAGGCTTCCTCTTCCTCTATATCTGCAACCTGTTGTTTGGCATTTTCCAAAGCATCATCTAAAATTTCATCTGCAATTGCTGAAAATTTTTTCCTATTATCCTCTATCTTTACCACACTGTCTCTGTACAGCTGCTCACAATTGACTTGTTCTATATCTTTTAACTCATTACGCCAAGGCAGAAATAGCAGTAATTGCTCTCGGAAGTAATTTGATTTGTCCTGCTGAAGTTTGTACCGTCTGTACCTTATCACGGCTGGTTTCTTCTTACGCCTGTACTCTTTTGATTCCTCAAAATAAATTTTATCTTCATCAAATTCTGCTTCCCTCCTAATCGGTACATACTCAGATGTAAATGTTGCCAGGCAAACGTCTTCTAACTGTTGCGGTCGTTCACTATATTTTTGAAATAAGTCTTTCATATAGACTTCTGTTGAGTCTTCATTTAAACTTTGAAGTTGTGCGTTTGTTTTTAACATCCTGGCTCTTTCCAGCCTAGGACTGGTGTTTATGTATACAGTTTTGCGGCTACATTTCGACAAAGGCATTGACAAGGCATGATATGCTGCTTCTTGGGCGGACATCAGGTTGCTATTCAGGAAAACGTTTGCGATCTTTCTAAATTTCTCCTTTACGCTCTTATTTCCTTTGTTGGCATCCGACGCTGCATCACGTAATATTTTTGATAGCCCACTATCAATTTTACTCACATATTTTACAATATAGGAAGCAAGACCATATTCTTCTAAAACAAATTGTAGGTCCATATTGGACTCGAAAAGATGCAGGATATCTGGGTTGTACCCATTGATATTAACTTCTGTGCTCTTTCTTCGTAGATACACTTGCGGCCTTTTAAGTGAGCTCCTGAGAACAGAAATGTACATCTCTTCAGACATATTCAAAGTCTTAAGAATCTCTTCAAATGGTATGTCATCTCTGCTCTTCGAATAATATACCATTAGCTTTCGAAGTGCTGTCAATCGTTCTTTGAATGAGTCATCAATTTCATCCTCGGCTAATGGCTCCAGTATCATTGTCTTGGGCATAGCGGGCATGGGGAAGTTAAATCGACACTTGCTTTTATTCCTTTTTCCTTTGTAGCATGTATGAGAGTGCTTGTGCATCTGAAGCTGCACAAATGGATCGTCTTCTTTATACTCGCAGGTGATAAACTTGTCAATAAATCCTACACATTCCTTAATGGAATCAACATTCTTTGAATCAAACACTGGGGTACCTGTAAGCCACAAGAAGATGTGTTCGTGTGGAGATCCTCTCACCTGAAATTCGATTCTTTCATAGAAATCTTCGACGGTGTTTTTTTCAAAAATGGATCCTTCTTTTAGCAACGACATTAGTTTAGACATCTTATAGTTAAAATACCGCGCGCACGTAACTGGGTCGTTTTTAATAAGATCAGTCTTCTGGTAGTCATTGAGGGCTGTTGCTTCTTCCAATGTTAAATGTGATCCCTGTAGCGCGGATAGAGACTTAATCAATTCCGGCCACCTTGTTTCTCCTGCAGATATTGTTAAAAAGAATGTTGGCTTGCCAAGTTGTCTAACTGTTGCCATCAACTCTTTTTTCCTAGTTTCCCAGTATGATGGAGATGATCTTACTTGTTTAAGGATTTTGTATCCTTCATCTAATTTCATTAGATTATCGAGATAATTTTTATCAAGCGCATTTTTAACGTTCATTCCATGCGTCACCTTTGTTTTCCTTAAACACATATTAACACTTGCCAGAGCAGTCATTTCTAATTTTTTCTTTGCCATGAACAGCAGTCTTGCTGGGATGCAGGCTCGTCTGTCTCTATGGCGAATTTCGAATTTAACCCTGTCATTGTAGGAAAATTTCTTAGGTGTGTAAAATTTGTGACCGAAATATATCTTGGGGAAACACAATTCATCTATGTCATTTACTGCATGCCAAGGAACCGGTAGCTTGCCTTGACCTGGAGCGAACACCTGCACGTTGTCGACCATTTCTTTATTTCGATCTACTATCATGACTTCTTCGTCCACTTCATCATTAGAGTTTCCGTCGTCGCTATCTTCGTTAAAATCAACATTTTCCGTACGTATTTTCTTAGCACTTCCGCTATCTGATATTTGGCTTGCTTGAACGCAGTCCTTGTCTTTATCGTCAAGTACAAAATCAATGGCAGTTTGAATACCACAATCGGCATATCGTTCGAAATACGTTCTGTCGATAGAAATACTGTTGGCACGATATAACGGCGTCTTCACCAACTGATCCAAAGCATCACAAATTACTGCTGGTCGAACAGTTTCAAACAAATAGTGCGATTTGTGCAGCATATGACGTTTTAACTTAATCTGTACCGTGGCTAAATTATCAAAAGCACGCGGTAGCACTTGAACCATGTCGTCGATTTCTATCGGGATATTGACTACACTTCCTTTCATGCCTATTTGTGGATTTATAGCATATGCTTTCAGCGGTCGGAGTTGCATAAAGTTGATGTATGGGGAAACCATCCGCTCCTCCAGCACTGTTAACCTTTTTATACACTCTGGTATGTCTACAAACTTCAGGCCATTACTTGTTGCCATTTTCGGAATTTTTCCTTTCCTTGAGTGATTGTAACAAGTACGGCATATGTATTCTGAAGGATAATTAAATATTTTAGCACTGCATTCTTCATAGCTAAATTTTGTAGGGAAAGTGTCATGATGTTTCAGAACAGAATGATTGAAAAATAGTCCCTCACAAGAACAACAAACCTTATCTGGCATTGAACATCGGTCTTTAATGAATTGTAGTTTATTTTTTACTACAGACTGAATCAATCGCTCTTAATGAGGAGATATAATTTTCTCTAGCGCGAAAGAAATAATCATGTCTTCGTTTTTCTTTCCGTTCTCTGTCCCTTAGCCGTTCACTTTCACGATAATCATGCTGGGCTCTTCTCAACTGTATCGCACCATTGCTCTTCTCTCGTTCAGCTATACGATAAACATTATTTTTCCTGAGACTTGTCTTAGACTGAAGGTCTTTCTTTTTCTCAGCTAAACGATATGCCTCTTTAGTTCTTAATATTTTCATTGCGTTTTTATTCCTGTTCTTCTCTACGGTGCGATATGCTTGTTTTGTCCTAGCTAGTTTCTTTGAGTCGTTGTTCCTCTTCTTCTCTGCAGTGCGATAAGGCTCTTGTGTCCTAGCTAGTTTCATTGAGTCGTTGTTCCTCTTCTTCTCTGCAGTGCGATAAAGCTCTTTTGTCCTAGCTAGTTTCATTGAGTCGTTGTTCCTCTTCTTCTCTGCAGTGCAATAAGGCTCTTTTGTCCTAGCTAGTTTCATTGAGTCGTTGTTCTTCTTCTTCTCTGCAGTGCGATAAGGCTCTTTTGTCCTAGCTAGTTTCATTGAGTCGTTGTTCTTCTTCTTCTCTGCAGTGCGATAAGGCTCTTTTGTCCTAGCTAGTTTCATTGAGTCGTTGTTCCTCTTCTTCTCTGCAGTGCGATAAGGCTCTTGTGTCCTAGCTAGTTTCATTGAGTCGTTGTTCCTCTTCTTCTCTGCAGTGCGATAAGGCTCTTGTGTCCTAGCTAGTTTCTTTGAGTCGTTGTTCCTCTTTCTTTCTGTGCTAAGATAACTTTCTAAAGAACGTGTTACTCTCATGTTCAGCTTGTTTTTATTTCTCTCAACATCTTTAAACGACGTATCACAACGTAGTTTTGACACTGAAAGTTGTATCTTTTTTCTCCGCGCTAAGCTACACTGTCTCTTTACCCTCATTTTAGAATATATGTGGTTAAGACAGACAGAAGTACGTGTCGTTTACAACTCGTTGAACTCAAATACAGTGAACTACACTGACTACAGAACAGAAGGTGTAATCTTCGACCATGCGAGCATAGTTATGCATAAGCCATCTCGAGATTTCAGACGTACGTAAATTATCTAGGAATTTCACAATAGAACTTTGTGCTGTGGCTGTTGGCTTAACATAACTGTTTCTGTGCCTTAAACGTAAAAGCCTTAGTGCAGTCTGCGCTGTACAAACACGCCTTCCCAGTCAAATGTATTCAACCCCTGAATAATATTCTGACCGGTAGGCTTGTACCCATTTCAGCGATAGGCCTACTCACCCGTAAGACGGCAGGCGACTCAAATATTACCATATATGTATGTGTATAGTTAGCGAAGTTTGAGTGAAAGCTCTACTATATCGATAAAACTCAAAGGAGAAGAACGTTCTTGCAATGTTCTGTTGATTCACCAAATAACATTCTATCTACATAAGTGCAAGCAACGAAAACATGCATTTTTCTTTATTTCTTGTCTACTACGTCATTCTGCTTTCGCCGCGTCATGCAGGCATTACACATATTTTATTACAGCCAAAACAAGCAGCAAATACTCTCTAACCATATAGTCTACTGTTAGTATAATTATGTTTAACTTCAATCCTAAACATATAGGCCTACATCGATCACACCAGCATAACCGAACACAATATGCGGCTGTAAAATCGTGATTGTGCACGTATTACATAGGATATGTTCTTATATGACAGAAACAGGCATAGCACTTCCAATGCAATCGGGGTATAGAAATATAGAAGTTTGTGACATAACCCAAATTACACATTATTACAGTTTTTATAAAAATATAATCGAGTAGAAAATAAAATTCATTAAAAAAAGTTTTAGTAAGAAGCGTTTATATCATTTTGCACTATTCTATTTAAAAAATATATTCTTATATAACACTACGGTGACACGGGATAGAGAAATGATTTTTAATCCATTTTTAATTTTCCAACTTTTATAAGTAGAACTAGCCATCGGTACCCGTTTCACGTGAATCATAGGCCTATATATTTTAAAATGTTGAACTTGTTTAGAAAAATAATTTATAAAATAGTTAGGGTCAAAACGCAATGTGCTTTATTACACGCTGAACGATATTACTGACAAAGCAAAGAAATGACTAATTAGCTAAAAATCCGACACATTTAACATAACACAGTCACACACTGATTAACTTAAGTGACTTAAATGATTCCGTTAAAAACTCGGCTATTCCACGGTATTCTTCTTGTTTTTAAAGTGATTTATTTTTATTAGGTTTTTATGAATAGATCTATAGATTTAAATGAAATAGTTCATTTCTTCACCGGTAACCATACCATATTAAATGCACTCGCTGATTAAGAGACTTAAAATTAAGAGACTTAAAAGATTTCTACAAAAAACCCGGCTGTTCAATGGTAGTTATGTTGTTTTTAGTAGATAGTCTAAATCCAGATCTTAGTGACTACGTATAGTTTTTCCGTAGATCTAGTCTAGATCTAGAATCGAGATCTAGATCTATATCTAGAATTTAATTAGATAAAGTAAAAAGTTATAAAAGTTTAGGCCGAGAAAATCGTATTGTATACATTTCCATTAGACAAATTAATTGCACACCAAGTGAACGCGAAATAAAAAAGCGCATAATAGTGCGCAATATTATTAGTACTTTAAAAATTTACATTAGTTTTTTGAGAAATCGGAAGTAGCGTAAATTACTACTTCCGGTCAACGGAAATTACTCAAAATTTAACAGAAGGTAGAGAATTAGATCTTTTACTTACATGTGAAATTTAATTTATCTATCTGAAATAGTACTCAAGTTATAGGCTTTTGAAAAATTCAAAGTAGAAAAAGTACCACTTCCGGTTGTCGGAAATCGCTCAAAAGTTGATACGGATCTACGATTTTGATAAAATACTTATATATGAAATTTCATCAACCTAGCTGTAACGGTACTCAAGTTATCGTGTTTACACACGGACACACACACACACACACACACACAGACACACAGACATACGGACAAGATTGCAAAATTATGTTTTTCCGTATCAGTGAGATGCAAAACGTCGAGATTTGCAAAAATCTCGATTTTTTTTTTTTGCACGATTACAAGACTTTCTCTATACTTCGTATATACGAGAAAGTAAAAAAGGAAATCAAATATTAAAAAAAAATATAGATCTAGATCTAGATCTAATTCCATCTTGTGATTTTTATTCTGACGAAGACACTGTCCATACGAATAGAAATGTGGTAATAAAATCAAATGTGTAGTGGGGGTGGAAGCAGGCGTTGTAACTGAAATAGCAATATTAACAGAGAGTGATATTTCAACGCCAAGAGTAGACTCTTGGCGTTGAAATATCACTCTCTGTTAATATTGCTATTTTAATAAAATCAAATGTACTGTGCATATTCTGCTAAAATCAAATCAGCTGCAAGGTCAACCCTGCAGAGTTCTTCTCTTCAGATAGGTAAATGGTTGTCATGGATTCTTTGGCTTGCAATGCTGGGAGTGGCCAATTAATAAAATAAATAAATTTAAAATTAGTGAGTAGGCCTATCGCTAATATTATTATATTAATAATTAATATATAGATTCTAGGACAGAAATTAACTTTAAATAGCAGTGTCTGCGAGCAAGATTTGCTATATAATATATAAACAGCAGCCATTTGTAAAATAGAGTGGTCTCCCTGAATCTAGCGCTGTAAGTTTATAAAAATAAAACTTAAACAAGATGGCTGCTATAGTAAATGAGCATGGTTGCATCTGTTGGAAACATCGCTTGATTTGTTACTGAAAAGTTTTAATTCAATTATTATTGTTTAAAAACAGGTACATAAATGAAACAAGGAAACATTTTTGAATTTTTTAAAACATAAATAAATCCACATCAACATGTGAAATAATTATTATATAGATCTATTAAAATTTTTAATTTAAGGTGTCACCTGATTTTCACATTACAAGTCACTGGCGATTTTAGGTACCCAAAACGATAGATTACTGCTAATCTATCGTTTTAGCCTAGTTTTAGGTTTAGGTATGTCACCGTATGTAAAATCAGCAGAGGCTAGTGTAATAAAAGTGTAATAGTTAATGTGCAAGAAAGGTGACTCATCATTAATATTTAATAAATATTAGGCTACGCCTATTCATTAAATTGTAGGCCTACCTTATTATTATTTTATTTATAAACAATACCCATGAAAACTAGAGATATAGGCCTATCTCTAACTACTAACTACATTTGATTTTGATGGTTTTAGCTAATTTGTAAATTTGCGGCTAAAATACAGGATTTTAATTATTGGTGCTTTTTAGCTTAGCTGGGAAAGCTTTTCCAGTGACAATCATTCTTAGATCTGGTCCACAAAATTGACAGGAGAGGGACCTTGGATGTTAGTAAGGATCAAGTGAGGGTGGAGTGTCGGTATGTGTCAATAAAACATAATTGAAAGGATGCTCGTAACTTGGTTATGTCATGTAACATATTTACTATTTTTTTTTAATATAGGCTAATGAATAATCCAAAAATAATCACGTTTAAAAGGTTTAAGAATATATAATATATATCTAGATCTAAACTTTTTAAAGATATTCATATGCATGTTTATTTCAGTTTTGATTAGGCTTAATTAGTGTGTTTTAGCAATGTTTAATCAAGGCAATTTATAAATGATAGCTATGTCATTGTAAAATAAATCTAACCCTCCTCCCTTACTGGACTTGAAACCTGTGTGTTATTCACAAAGCTTTGTCCATGCTGAGTTTAAAATATTGTTAAGATTTGTATCTATTTTTTTTAAACAGTAAGCGCATTAAAATTGATCAAGTTAACGAGAAATGCATTCTAAACAACATAACTGACAGTGCGCATGACAGGCATCTCGCTTGCGTAGTGACAGACAGATGCTCACTCAAGTAGTTTTGTCAACCAGAAAAGTTAACCTATCAAATACAGTTCATCAGACCTATAAAATTAAGAGGCCTATCACATTAAAATGATCGCCTGTGACCGAAAGATATAGGCAAATTACAAACATTGCAGCCCACCTGTGTTCTTTTGTAAACCGGTGAGAGAAAACTCAAAGCACAGTATGAGCGTGTTCTAAATCAAGTCCATAACTTTGTTAGCCCAAGTTCTAATTAGTAATTCTAATTACTAAGTACTAATTAGTAATGTAAGCCTAGACCCAACACTAAAATCATTTAATTTTTCAGTATATGAACAAAGAACAGTGAGAATAATATTATATTAGACTAATTAAAATCTATGAAATCAATAAGAATTAACAAAAATTAATTATAACACATTTGAAAACAACAAATAATTAGGCATAAATATTTGTAAATAAGCACACAAAGGCTAATGCTCAATAATTTCAGGGATTAACACAGATTAAAAAACAAAATAATAGATTGTTGTAGGGGCTTTTAGAGTCATAGTATAATCCAAAAGCCAGGTGAAAGATCCATAATGAGACTTAATTAGCCTAATTACGCTAGCAAAATATGTAAAAAAAAGTGTCAAGTAAAAAGAAAACTTATGTAAGCAGTGACAGAGGATACTGCTATACAGCTTCCGTATCAATAGCAATGACGTCACTCGCAAAAAAAATATTGTTTACATGACGTATCAATAGCAATGACGTCACTCAACAAAAAATATTGTTTACTTGACATATCAATAGCAATGATATCACTCACAAAATTAATATTGTTTACGTGACATGTGGGTGATTTTTTTTCTCTAAATGAGTATAGAATATTTACAATTTTAATTCAGAAACAGATCAATCTAATAATACCCTACCTAACAGTGCAAGTTTGGAACTTTACAGATCGATATTTTAAGTTTTTAAGCAACTTAAAACTTTACCCATGTTTATGTTTGACCTTCATTGTTGGAAGCTAATTAAATTTTTTCTGGCAAAAATAGCTTTGTCATCTTCAGGTAGCATAAAAATACGCTTAAAATCTCTGCCATTTTTCACGTGATAATCATTTTTTAAAAACCAAATTCTAAGAAAGTCACTTTACTATTAGGCAAAATTTTCAAAAAACGTGTCTGGTTTTGGGTGTTCAAACAAAATATGTAGGCCTGCTATAATTTTTTTTTTTTACACGATCTATCTATAGTTGTTTTTTAACAGTTGTAAACTTGAGACATATCGGTTTAGCAACCATGAGCTTTACCGACTCGACCACACCAACCCCACTTCTGAAAAGATTTCTTAGTAAAAATAATGTTTCTGTAATCCTGCGATGTGTACTTACGAATTTTATTTCTAAGATATTTTAATATGCTTCTGAGAAGTTTTATTGAAAAAAATTTGTTTTGACTATAGTTACTAGATCTATATAATCACCACTTTAACATTTAAATATCTAATCCTCAGTTCATTTATAAGAAGCAGCATGGGAGAGGCAACTGCTGATTTAGATTTACAGTCTGATGAGTTTAAAGAATTTTCAAATTCTGAAGATGTGAAGCCACTTCTATCTACAGTATTTTCATCTTCTTCTGACATAAAAACGGAATTATCATTTTTAACTTTCCGTGATATCAAACCAAACTTGACATTTATAAATTCACAGGATGATAAAACCGTTGTTACGCCAGATTTTTCATCTTCTACAGACACAAAGTCAGAATGTACAACATTTTCCTCTTTTGATGATGTAAAACACCATATGACATTTCTAACTTCTCAAGATAAAACAACAGGATTTTTAATTTTTAAAGATATGGAACCTGCTGTATCAGCAGTATGTACAAGATCTGAAATTATAAAACCAGAATTAGAAACTTTATCAACTTGTGAAGATATAAAACCAGAATTAGAAACTTTATCAACCAACACAGAATTAGAAATTTTATCAACTCCTGAAGATATAAATCCAGAATTAGAAAATATATCAACTAGTGAAGATCTAAAACGTGAATTAGAAACTTTATCAACTAGCGAAGATATAATCCCAGAATTAGAAACTTTATCAACCAACAAAGATTTAAAACCAGATTTATGGACAAAATTTTTAGATTCTGAGGACAAACAACAAAATGGACTTCAAGAAAAGCTAAAACTCTCTGAAGATGAAACATATCTCTCTGTTGATCCTAATGAACATCATGAACAGTTTTTTCAAAGATCTAACTTGAGTAAAAAAGCTCAAGTAGGGGAGAGGCCACTTGAATGTGATGCTTGCCATAAAAGGTTTTCAGATAGTTCTAGGTTAAGTAAACATAAAAAAGTTCATTCAGGAGATAAGCCTCATGAATGTGATGTTTGTCATAAAAAGTTTTCTCAGAGTTCTAGTTTAAATGCACACAAAAGAGTTCATTCAGGAGATAAACCATTTGAATGTGATGTTTGTCAAAAAAAGTTTTCTCAGCGTTCTAATTTATATGCGCACAAACAAGTTCATTCAGAAGATAAACCATTTGAATGTGATGTTTGTCATAAAAAGTTTTCATATAGTTCTAATTTATATGCACACAAAAGAGTTCATTCAGAAGATAAACCATTTGAATGTGATGTTTGTCATAAAAAGTTTTCTCAGAGTTCTAGTTTACATAAACACAAAAGAGTTCATTCAGAAGATAAACCATTTGAATGTGATGTTTGTCATAAAAAGTTTTCTCAGAGTTCTAGTTTATATAAACACAAAAGAGTTCATTCAGAAGATAAACCATTTGAATGTGATGTTTGTCATAAAAAGTTTTCTTGGAGTTATAGGTTATATACACACAAAAGAGTTCATTCAGGAGATAAACCATTTGAATGTGATGTTTGTCATAAAAAGTTTTCTTGGAGTTATAGTTTATATAAACACAAAAGAGTTCATTCAGAAGATAAACCATTTGAATGTGATGTTTGTCATAAAAAGTTTTCACATAGTGCTAATTTATATGCACACAAACAAGTTCATTCAGAAGATAAACAATTTGAATGTGATGTTTGTCATAAAAAGTTTTCTCAGAGTTCTGGTTTATATAGACACAAAAGAGTTCATTCAGAAGATAAACCATTTGAATGTGATGTTTGTCATAAAAAGTTTTCATATAGTTCTAATTTATATGCACACAAAAGAGTTCATTCAGAAGATAAACCATTTGAATGTGATGTTTGTCATAAAAAGTTTTCTCAGAGTTCTAGCTTATATAAACACAAAAGAGTTCATTCAGAAGATAAACCATTTGAATGTGATGTTTGTCATAAAAAGTTTTCATATAGTTCTAGCTTATATAGACACAAAAGAGTTCATTCAGAAGATAAACCATTTGAATGTGATGTTTGTCATAAAAAGTTTTCACATAGTGCTAATTTATATGCACACAAACAAGTTCATTCAGAATATAAACAATTTGAATGTGATGTTTGTCATGAAAAGTTTTCTCAGAGTTCTAGTTTATATAAACACAAAAGAGTTCATTCAGAAGATAAACCATTTGAATGTAAGGTTTGTCATATAAAGTTTTCACATAGTGCTATTTTATATATACACAAACAAGTTCATTCAGGAGATAAACCATTTGAATGTGATGTTTGTCATAAAAACTTTTCTCAGAGTTCTAGTTTATATAAACACAAAATAGTTCATTCAGAAGATAAACCATTTGAATGTGATGTTTGTCATAAAAAGTTTTCTCAGAGTTCTAGTTTATATAAACACAAAAGAGTTCATTCAGAAGATAAACCATTTGAATGTGATGTTTGTCATATAAAGTTTTCACATAGTGCTATTTTATATATACACAAACAAGTTCATTCAGAAGATAAACCATTTGAATGTGATGTTTGTCATAAAAAGTTTTCTAGAAAAAATAAAACAGTTCATACTGGAGATAAGCCAGATGAATGTGATGATTGCCATAAATATGTTTCTAAAATAAAGCAGCTCCCGACATATTGGCTCCCGATATAAGTGCTCAAGACAAATGGGCTTTTGACAAAATGACTCCTGACATATTGGCTCCAGATCAATGAATGGCATGACCACTATTGGCATAAAAGTAACGATTTTGTCCTACCTCCAATACCACTATATACTCTTGTAAATGCCCGAATGAAATTGTTTTTCATGAACCAACATTAATTCACACACAAAGCGAGCCCTTAACAGCTAAATTTCACCAATTTTAAAGTTTTGATAATGTTTAATTTACAACAGAAAAGATCTGTTGCTTAAAAGCGAGCACAGAAGTGTAAATGTACGGATATGTATATATATGTATATTTATGTATATATATGTGTATATATATATATGTATATATATGTGTGTATATATGTTGGCTGGTATCCTAATGTTGGCTGGTTATTGAATAGTTGTCACAGGTTGCTTGTTTTTTGTGTGTAGTTATATTCGTGGTTGGTCGTAGCTGGATCGGGGTAATGTTCCCCCCTTCTCTCAAGACGCCGCCCGGTTCTCACGGCACTGGGTTCTGGCAGGGTGTGACGGTGTCACGGATAATTTACGAGGTTCACAGTCGTGGATTGTGACCGGACCCTAGGTGTGTGCATGCTTTGTGTTCAATTTTATGTCCTGTCTCCCCAATGGTCGTCTGCTTAAATTTACGACCGTAAGGTCGCGACGGTCAGTTCTTGTCAAAACAGGTGGTCGGAAAGTGTGGGAAAAAGTTTGTTTGGATTCAGCCTATTTAAGAGGACTGTGTTCAGACCTCTGTCTCTTACACACCAAGCTAGGGCTATAGACCAGTCTAGGCCTTATGATAGCCGCAGAGGCTTGTTTAGTGGCCCAGCTGAGGTATTGTTGATATGGCCTGGTGTTTACACCAGCGGCCCAACACCTTGTTCCAGTGGCCCGATATTATGCTCGTGGCCTGATGTCTCGTTCTTGTGGCCCGATATTATGCTCGTGGCCTGATGTCTCGTTCTTGTGGCCCGATATTATGCTCGTTGCCTGATGTCTCGTTCTTGTGGCCCGATATTATGCTCGTTGCCTGATGTCTCCTTCTTGTGGCCCGATATTATGCTCGTGGCCTGATGTCTCGTTCTTGTGGCCCGATATTATGCTCGTGGCCTGATGTCTCGTTCTTGTGGCCCGATATTATGCTCGTGGCCTGATGTCTCGTTCTTGTGGCCCGATATTATGCTCGTTGCCTGATGTCTCGTTCTTGTGGCCCGATATTATGCTCGTTGCCTGATGTCTTGTTCTTGTGGCCCGATATTATGCTCGTGGCCTGATGTCTCGTTCTTGTGGCCCGATATTATGCTCGTGGCCTGATGTCTCGTTCTTGTGGCCCGATATTATGCTCGTTGCCTGATGTCTTGTTCTTGTGGCCCGATATTATGCTCGTGGCCTGATGTCTCGTTCTTGTGGCCCGATATTATGCTCGTGGCCTGATGTCTCGTTCTTGTGGCCCGATATTATGCTCGTGGCCTGATGTCTCGTTCTTGTGGCCCTATATTATGCTCGTTGCCTGATGTCTCGTTCTTGTGGCCCGATATCTCGTTCTTGTGGCCCGATATTATGCTCGTTGCCTGATGTCTCGTTCTTGTGGCCCGATATTATGCTCGTGGCCTGATGTCTCGTTCTTGTGGCCCGATATTATGCTCGTGGCCTGATGTCTCGTTCTTGTGGCCCGATATTATGCTCGTGGCCTGATGTCTCGTTCTTGTGGCCCGATATTATGCTCGTGGCCTGATGTCTCGTTCTTGTGGCCCGATATTATGCTCGTATCCTGATGTCTCGTTCTTGTGGCCCGATATTATGCTCGTGGCCTGATGTCTCGTTCTTGTGGCCCGATATTATGCGCGTGGCCTGATGTCTCGTTCTTGTGGCCCGATATTATGCTCGTGGCCTGATGTCTCGTTCTTGTGGCCCGATATTATGCTCGTGGCCTGATGTCTCGTTCTTGTGGCCCGATATTATGCTCGTGGCCTGATGTCTCGTTCTTGTGGCCCGATATTACGCTCGTTGCCTGATGTCTCGATCCAGTGGCCAAATGTCTCGCTCTGGGGCCAGATGTTTGTTTTGGAGGACGGATATGTTGTCCTTGTGGCTGGGGAATCACCCTGCCTTTTGTGTGTGACGAACTGGGTCGTGTAAGGAACTCGTAAACATTCATGAAAGGATAAAATTGTGGTTGTATCTAAAAATGTAAGTGATTTATTTTTTTTAATTTTTACATGTATTAAGAATTCGAGGGATGTTTCTTTTATTATGAAAACCGGCCAGGTCTTTTTTGTATCCTTTTGTTTTTTTTGCTTGTAAAATACATTTTTGTGAAGTAGGATGAAGTTAAATAAATGCATTAACTGGGTGTTTACCAAGTTTTATTTTTAGTGTAAAATTAATGTTGTATTTGTTTAGATGTTAATTAGTTTTGCTCAGGTCTATTAGACTCCTTTGTCACCACGCAAAGGTGCACGGATTTGAGAGAATAATGGTCAATACCATCTTACCATGTATTAAGAATTCGAGGGATGTTTCCTTGATTATGAAAACTGGCCAGGCCTTATTTGTATCCTTTTGTTTTTTGCTTGTAAAATACATTTTTTGTGAAGTAGGATGAAGTTAAATAAATGCATTAACTGGGTGTTTACCAAGTTTTATTTTTAGTGTAAAATTAATGTTGTATTTGTTTAGATGTTAATTAGTTTTGCTCAGGTCTATTAGACTCCTTTGTCACCACGCAAAGGTGCACGGATTTGAGAGAATAATGGTCAATACCATCGTACTGTGATGACGCAAAATTACGTCAGACATGTTTAGCAGATATAGGTTAGCAGAAACAGACTATAGGCCTAGTTGGTTGGTTGGAGAGGCCAATGGGAATACGGCAAATGACCGGTCACGTGAGACGGTCAGCTGACCACTGAAGCGTGGGCTGCTGTTAGGCCGGCAGTGGATAGGTAGCTAGCGAGGAGAGAAGGTGTTAGGTTGTAGAATGGAGCAGACGTAGTGATGTAGAGAACAGAAAGTTAGTGTTAGGATTGGTCATGGGAGTGCGTAGTTAGTAGTATAGTGAACAGTTAGCAGTAGTAGTAGTAGTAAACAGTAGAGAGTATAGAATAGGCTAGTAGGAAGAACTTGATTCTATAATTTTAATAAAGAACATTTTTCATTTCTATACTTGAACTTGTGTTATTGGATTCATTCGTTCCGCCTTCTTAAAAATCCCCACCCTCACATCTGGCGGAGCTCGGGACGAACCGCGGATCGAGGACGGGAAAGAAAGTATATCGGTTTACTCATGACGGAGTACGACTTGTGTATTGCTTTCTCTAACTCATCACAAAGCGGACTTCTTCAACCGGAACGAGTGGATTACCAACACAAGGGAAAAGTCAACGTGTCCAAAAAGATAAGTACCTTCCAAAAAATTTTTTTTAAACGTTTGGGTTTAGACTCGTGCTGGATATTTTGTACCAGCGGGTTTCCTGTCTGTTGTTTCTTCGTTACACTTACATCCTGTTGCCTTAGTTGTTTTTTTTAACTTCCTCAACACTACACACAAATACACCATGGAAGCAGAATTAGAATTATATAAACAGGGTATGGCAATGAACAAAAAGGGCGAAGAGCTAGACGCATGGGTAGATGGTAGGTTAGAACAACGGCTAGAAAGAGAGGCTAGAATAAAGGCAAAAGAGGCAAAAACATTAGCAGAGGCAGACCTGGAAAGGAAAAAATTAGAAGCAGAAACAGCCAGGATTAAAATAGAATCGGACAAAGCAATAGAACTAGAAAAACTGAGAATACAGCATGAATCAATAACAAACAACCAAAACAACACTATTCCTGCTCCAGTAAAACAAGAACAAACCAACACCCATAAGAGCATGCTTTTCAAACTGCCAAAATTTCAAGATGATAGAGATAGCATAGACGCATACATTCGCAGGTTTGAAACTATAGCAAAAGGAGAAAACACACCAGAACACCTCATGAGCACACACTTACTCACCCAATTAGGAGGTAAAGGATTAGACGCTTGCCACACGCTCATCGAAGACGAAATAAAAGACTACAAAACACTCAAGCAAACACTCCTGGAATTCTATAATTTAACAGAAGAAAACTACAGAAATAAATTTCACAAATTACAGCCAAACAAAGTGGAAGACTTCACAGTTTTTTCAAACGAAATTAAGCTTACATTAGACAAATGGATAGAATCATCAGGCATCAACAAAACTTACGAAGACCTCCTACAATTCATACTTATAGACAAAGTACTAAACAGTGTACACGCAGATCTATTTGCATTCCTACAGGAAAGGAAACCCAGAGACATGAAAACAATAACTGATCTATCCCAAAAATACATTGCTGCCCACCCCACAAAACCAATTAGCAAACGAACCGATTCAGAAATAGTACCAGTCTACGTAGCCAACATAAACGATGGGGTCAGAAGCCGTACCCGCAGTGCTAACAACAATCGCCCACACTCAAGTAGACCAGAGCAACGCCCACTGCCAAGAAATAACCTTTACCAGATACCAAACAGAGAACCTCGATGTTATAGATGCAATCAAGTTGGTCATATGGAAAGAAACTGCACGCAAAACACGAACTACAGGACCAACAACGCCAACTACACATACAACGGACCAAGAAACAACAGATATAACACACATGCAGCATTTATAGCCTCCCAATCGAAAAACAATAGACTCAATACATTCCAGGCAAGAATTAACAAAACACCAGCGTACGCAATGAGAGACACAGGTTGTTCGGCCGTTGCAGTACGCAACACATTCGTACAACAGCATCAATAAACAGGCAGATCACAAAGAATACAAAGTTTTGGAGGTGCGATACAAACATGGCCTACAGCTATTGTTACTATAGAAACACCAACAGCATACAAAACAGTTGAAGCTGTGGTATTCAAACATGGCCCTTACGACATGATTCTGGGCAACATACGAGGTGTAAAAAGATTCCAGGTAGAACACAACACACATAGACACGCGCCAACCCCATGTCAACAATGCCCTGCAATAGAAAGCTACAATTCTCTCAAGTTAGTATGTACAACACAACAGCAAACGATTTCCAGATTACAAAATGATATCACACAACTCATAGAACAGCTACAATGTAACCATCTACCCCATCGGTCTTAGCACATTAACCCCATGACCAAGCATTTGACCCGGAACGCCCCCACGAATGATTTTGAACAACGGACATAATAGTGAAGTAAAGTCGAGTTTTTTGTTTGTTAATCTAAGTAGTCGAGAAAATCGACGTGAAGTCGATATAGTTGAAGTCGAAGTCAGTGCAGTCAAATCCGAAGTCAATAGTGTTATTGAAGTCAGTGAAGTATAAGTCAGAACTGAAGTCAAAAAAGTTATTTGAAGTCAGTCAAGTCAGTCAATAAGTTGTTGAAGTCGTAATTGAGGTCATAGTGACGTAGTTGAAGTCATGTTGCAGTCAAAGAAAAGTCTTTGAAGTTATATTAAAGTCGTTGAGGTCATAGTGAAGAAGTGAAATCGTCGAAGTTAAGGTGAAGTCTTTGAAATCAAAGTGATGTCGTTGAAATCTTTGAAGTCAAAGTTAAAGTATTTGAAGTCGAAGTAAGGTTAATCTAAGTCAGTCGTTGAAGTCTTCGAAGTCATATTGAAGTCGTTGAAGTCAAAGTGAAGTCTTTGAAGTCATATTGAAGTCGTTGAAGTCAAGGAAAAGTCTTTGAAGTCAAAGTGAAGTCGTTTAAGCCTTTGAAATCAAAGTGAAGTTTTTTTTTTAAAGTCAAGGTGAAGTCGTCGAACTTTAAGTCAGTCAGTGAA